CGCTGGTCGGGGGTCGTTAGTTGGGATTTTGATGGGTTCAATGGGTTGGACGCACATGATGAATATCCAGTCGATTATGTAGGATAGTACTAGAAGCTTGGAAATAGCTGCGAGGCGTGTTACTGTCTCTTTGACGGGGATTGGCATGGTCGAGTGTGATATGCAATTAGGAAGGAAATGTAAAACATTAAAATGAAGTTCAAGAAAGAACGTTGGAAAAAGTACATAGACGGGGATGACGATGCCAGGGATGATTGTGGCGGAGTAAGAAGGTTAATTTATTTTGGATTTACTCGAACAGTAGCAACAGTTCGAAAAGGTTGAAAGAAGATTAGATGACTCCATACTATTCATAGATAGTATCCATTGACTCCACTTTCCTATTGTTCAGGAAAGTTTATCACTAGATACAGTTTATAGCAGGAGAACGGCGAGAATTGCAGTTGGTTTTCATCAATTTCCACCAAGCGAGGTGGTTAACGCAGTTTGTCTATATACAGACTGCCTAGGAAGTGCTAAGCTCGCATGCTACGGATAGCCTCAGTCAGCCATGAGGACTTACGATCTGACCGAATAGTAGTTTCTTGATAGTGATTCATAGAGATAGAAAGACTTCTAAACTACCCATCTGCATGTAAGTAGAGCCCCTGAGATTAACAATTTCAATAATATCGAGCCAACGCCTGCAATTCCAAAGAAATAGCCAAAGAAAGATCTAGAATCCAGTAATCGTCCGGCGGCCCATGATGGCATCGTTCAGCTGTCTGTGAACCTGTTGAACCCCCTCGAACCGAATGAATCCACACGATTCACTTTCCAAGTGGTTGAACAGGCTAGCCAGGGAGTGGAACTCCTTCGGACAGCCTCGCTTGAGGCAGTGGTAGACCTTCTCATTGTGGACGGGCGAGTTGACATGCGACCCCAGCGCTTTTGGCGAGTTGAACCCCTTTTTGCATAGGTAACACACCCAGCAGCTACCATTCCAGGCATTGTCGGTGACCAGGTAGGTCATGTCCTGTTCATGTTCACCGTGCCACGCGATCTGCTTCTTGCAGACAATACCATTCGGATCAAGCTGTTGAATAATGCGGTGGATGCGGTCGCGGTTCAAGCCTTGAGCTTGAGGGCAGGCACCAGACTCAAGATGATGGGAGACACCGCTGGCAGTGACGAAGCCAACCCGACAGAATGGACACGCAATGTTGGTGCCGCGATGGATCTTGGAATTCAGGTGCTATAAGATAAAGACGTGAGTGGAACGGGTTCAAAGTTTCTCTCGGATCATATCAGCTCGCCTACCTGGCGCAAACAGTTCGCGTTCATAAATTGACGGCTGCATTCTTGGCAGTAGTTCTTGTAATGTCCTTTGGCGCTCATATGATTCTCCACGGCCTGCTGCGTGTAGAATTTCATCGGGCATGTCTCACATGGAACTTTAGGGAGCCAATGACCCTTTGCGTTCATGTGGTTATTGGCGGCGTGTTGAGTGCGGAAGGTGCTGGTGCAAGTTTCACAGTCGAAGGTCGGCGCCCAGTGGTCTACAGCATTCATATGCTGATTGCAAGCGTTCTGGGTGCGGAACGATCGATTGCATGTTTCACATTCGATCCAGTGACGTTCGTCATCCATGTGCTCATCACAGTCCTCCTGATCCCAGAATACTGCATCGCAGGTGATGCATTCGAACATGATGGACTGATGTAAAGGTAAAGAATGAGATTAGAAGAAGAAGGGGGGAGAGAGAAGGATAAATAGACACATCCAAAACCTTATCTCTTATCTGCTGAACAAACGCTCCGTTTGATCGCCATCTAAAAGTACACAAAGACAACTTAGAAATTATTAGAAAGATAGTTGCGATGCATATTTTAGGTAAGTGTATAGATATGAAGCAGTATAAAGGTTGCTTAGAAGATGCGGTATCAACTACATAATGTTGTGAAAGCCGTGAGAGCTAGAAACTACCCCTCAACCTCACACTTCCGGGCTTTCTGACTCCTCCCCAGGATGACTGTACTTAGGTCGCCCACTGGCAGTGCGATGGGGAAATCGACCGCTTCGAGGATCTGCGCAATGAAAATATGCCAAATCGGAAGACAGAGGGCAAAGGTGAACGCACCAGCCGCCTATTGATAAATCAGTACACATTCAATATCGAAGAGAACAATAGCATATTTGCAATATACCTTTTGTAATTTGGCCGCCAGCACTAGGTTCCCCAGCGCCATCTGGAAATATATGCCTGAAAATAGTCCAAATGTGATCACAAGAAGGAAGAGCGCGAGGAAGAGGCAGACGTTTGTGCGGAGTGCGCAAATTGTGTATACGAAGGTGATGAGTGCGAGAGTGACGTAGTAGAAACCTGTGATATATTCAGTCAGGACGTGCGCATGTACATGATGGGGTGTGGTAGGTAAGACTCACCGACAGTTGCGCTGTATTCAGCGGTCTCCATGCCTTTCAGTGTGTTGCCATCAGACGAGTACATTGTGCCAACGGCGAAGAATGGCATGAGCGATGTGCCCTGAACCAGCCAGAATGTACCTATGAGCTCTAGTTAGCAAATGCATGGATGCGTTCATAATCCATGACGAACTACACATACCATATGTGAAGAATAATGCGCAAGAAAATGTATTCCCTAGAATCCATTCGCCAATTGCTCCGAATATTTGTACCATTGCACCGAAGAAGATATAGACTGGTCTGTGGGAGGGAGTTGTTAGTACTGTTTTCCTTGCAGCATCAGTATGGCCTCTCTTACAAAATGGCACCACCGTTTCCGCCTGCTCCTCTCCAGCCCATAGTAAGCATTGCGGTCGGCGTCGCAGACAGCAAGAAACCCATCAATGAAATCGGCGTGGGATTTCCAAATGTGGAACGCAGCTTTCCTGCATTTGGCGTCTTGGGGCTAAGGTATAGCTTTTCAAAAACATCCCGTGGTATAGGAAGCATAACACTGTCGGTGGTTTGATACCGGCGAAGCATTTCTGCCGTAGAGGTCTCTGGCTTGTCGCCGATAGTATCGTCGGACATTTTGGATTCAAGGGAAGGATTTTTCTTTCTTGAAAACCCTGGCAACGGCGGCTCAATGGTAATGGTGCTGATCTAACACTGGAAGACAGCGTGGAAAAGAAAATATATGAACCAGACCACGACTCGCAGCCCCTTTTATGCTCTTTCGGCCATTCAATTATTCGGCTGTATATCTGGGAGCCGAGCTCGCAGGGTCTTACCAATCTGTTACCGTATAATTCTATTTTTGCGACAATGTCATTCTGTATATCTTACACACCTTCTTGTTTGGAACAAAGCGCGGTGGTATTCCCCATAGTCCCCAACCAAACCCCGGATTTGCTCCGTCGACTGGTAATCAGCCTGGTCTCGGCCTATAACGCGCAATTAAACATGCGCGATCCACCTTGCAGGTGAAGCAATTGGGTAGTATGATTCGCTGGCTAAATCACACTAGATGCAGAGCGGGTTAGAGCAACCTCGTATCCTCCCCAGTTTTCGCATTGGCGTGGGGCAGACAGTGGGGGGTGTGCATGTTGCGCGGTAGTCATGTCCGCTCCAGTTCCGCTTCCCCTTTTCGTGTTCCCCCGCAATGGTGTTGAAAGCCGAGGTATTGGATCTGCGGGTCGGCTTCCTAGTACCTAGTTTTGATCTATCAATAATGGCTGAGGTATAAAGGCGCACTCGTTCATTATAGACTCGCCCAGACCTGGGCCATACTTCTTTGGCTGGCTAGTGGCGCCAATAGAAAGTGTAATCAGTAAAGCATGCTTCGGTCAAGTCATATTGGCCGCCTCGGCAGTTGGGCTGGCAAATACAGCCGCGCTTTGGCGAGATGATATTCCGACCTTGTGGATGCGTGGAGTTTGGGGAAAACCTGGGGCCCCAGTGGAGCTTCAGGAGGATAATGCATGACGTCATCAACGAGGGATTATAGTCGATCCAAAAACCAACCTTGCAAGCTTGGGTTCACAGAGATCTGACAATCTCTTACGCCGCGTTGCCACCGCGATTGCTATCATAGCCCGGCCCATAAGGTCAATATAATGTTTTATTCCGGACGTGCAATAAGGGGATCTCGACAGGCTAGGCTACAAGCCTCGATCGTTATCCACGTAAGAGAAATTGTTCAAAATATAATCAATAAACAGAGACAATCCGGACAGCTCTACTCACTTTCATATATACAATATACCAAACCAATGGCACCAGATGCTCCAAGCATTGCAAAGTGTACGGAGTAAATAGTCTAGGTTCTTCCCTAGGTGCCCAAACAGACTAAATAGTGGATGAAAAATAATGGGCGCTTTTGTGTGCAATAAGACATATATATCTTGCGGCACGAGTTACAACATCAGTCACACTATGCACGAGTTATTATGGCACAAACCGATTTACAACGAGTGACCTAGACACGTCAAGCGATACAGTGATAACATACATACATTATACATATCTTCTCCAAGTGTCCTAACAGGCAGAATGATTGAGGAAAAAGCGTTCATATTCAAAAAAAAATTGTGCAGAAAACTACCAAATATTGGCTGGAGAATGAAGAAAAAGAGAGAGGCTCTGCGGGAAGTGGGGCCGCTTCAGACCGAGGATCGGATCTCGGAATAATGCTGTTCCGGGTAGGGTGGTGCATCGTCACCTTTGACCAGAGACAAAATTTCCCAGCCCTAGACATCCTTTCAGCTAAGAAGACAACTGCAGGGCAGGCACTTGAGAACCACTGTTTTAGGCAAGCTACTTGGGAAGTAGAACCAAATTCTTCAGCCCCCACTCGGGAATCCTACTTAATTCTCCTGTTTTATAACTATCCTTTTACTCGAAAGCTACACTGCAAAAGGTAATACTACTAGAAATATAAAAGAAATAGGGACTTTCGAGTACTCCATTTTGAATATCTGCCCTAAGATATATTAGCGACAAGCTCGCCCGTAAATGCACGAGGTATTAAGATTTACCAACGACGCAAAAATCACTTAATACGTTGAAGACCCGAGACTTAGCAGATCTCGCGATCTTCTACGAAAAATATACGCCCGGTTAACGACAAACTCCCCCGATTTGACCTTCCCATGAAAGATATCCAACATGGCTTCAGCCACTTCATAAACTGCATCCTCGTCGGGAAGTTCTCCACCAACACGAATCGATACACAGTGAGAGTACCTGTGATGCATGGGTAATTCGTTCACTGTAACTTGCCTGTTCACGACGCGGTACATCATACGGCGGACCAACTCAAGATCGTTAAGCCAGGCCTCTTCTGGGTCAAAGTACACTGTGGCCCACACAACATGTTGTCCAGATGGTCCGTCGGCTACAGGAACATCGTCTATACGAGTCCTGAACGCGGTTCGTGTTGACATATTGGTATTAATTATGGGAATGAGCTTGGGGATTGGCTGTAGTGGGAGTTTTTTCTTCTTCAGCAGAACAAGGAGTGAGATAGGATGGGGCTGGGTGATTATTCCCTCTCCGTGTTGTGGTAATACCTGGGCATAGGAGACCACGGTGTTTAAATACTTCCAACTGAGACATGATGATATGCCCTACTATATAGTGAGCTGCTTGAGCCCTTGATAGAAACAAAGAATCTTTTAACAAAACAACCGCTTTGTCTAGTCTTCTTATTTTGATTGTCTTATTGTGTACTAATTATAAGACTCGAAGCCATTCTTTGTCTAAACTCCTACCCACTATATCAACAAAAGAACTCAATCCAGGTCAATGAAACCCTCTACCCCCAACCTTTAGAAAGCATCCGACCTTAAATGAAAGAACCGAAAAAGTCTCTCCCGATCAATCTGAACATTCCCCTCCGCACATTCCGCCTGATAAAAAAGCGCCAAATCCAACGCATCCCTAAGAAAAGCATCAAAAAACAAATGGCGAAACTGTGGAAATGCCCAATAATTCCCACGGGCCGGTAACGAGAGACACCCCATGACTCTGTGGTGCATGGGCTCTGGGGTAATCGAGATACTGACACGGGGTGTTTTCTTAGCGATTCTCGCGTGGATGGCCTCGGCCACGAGATCCATGAACTCCGCGTCTGTTTTGTTGCGATTTTCTGGGGTTGCGACGAATACGTTTACCCATAATATGGGTCCCTGGATGTCGCATCTCTCGTCGATGTAGGCACCGTCGCGGGTGAACATACCTTGTATACCTTCTTGTGCCATATTGGGTTCTTTAGAACAGACAAAGCCTTCCTGGTGTACTGGTGGTTGAAATGGGAATTTTATGAGATATACTCGTAGAATTATATTACCTGGGATGTTGTCAGGGCTTTGTTGGGATTGAAAGTCTATGTCTCTTTATCATATCAATTGAAGATGAGCTAGGAAGGATCCCCATTGTGGGTTGTTAAGACAAAGACTTTTGGATAGCTAATTCTGTTTTCTACATAGTTCTGTAATGTATGTTGGTCAGTATCATAGCTTCATTCTCATATATTGGCTTCTTATCTAATGTTATGTACTCCGAATTCTACTATCATCTATATACAGTTTCACAAAACCATAGCCTCACAGCTTAATCCACCTCCCCATCCAAGTTTCAACAACCTCTTTAGCCTCGTCAACCAGACCGAGATCAAGCAACAACTGGGTCGTGCCACGCACAGCCGAATCCAACGCTGAAAAGATCCAAGCATGCGTATAACTAGTATGCTCCCCAATGAAAATAGTCTTAAACTCCGTCTGGTAGTAAGCAGGCAAATAAAGCTCCTGCTGCCCAACAAGCGGACTAGCCCAAGCGCCCGCCTGATGCTGATCGACCTCCCAGCACTGGCGATTGTATACACCCGTAAACTGCTCAGCAGCAATCTCGCCATGGACCTCGACCATCGTGCGCTGGACTAGCGCAACGTGTTCCTCCTCGCTCAGTGCCGCTGTCGAACGAGCGGGCGTGTCCGAGATATATGACGCTAGGATCACACCCGGTCCGGTCGCATTCATGTTATAGGAGGGATAGCACACATTCCCGACCCCGGGGATATCAACTGACCCACATCCGCCGAAGATGGGCTTTTCCATGTGCTCCCAGAACCGCGTCTTGTAGAGCAGTGACAACTTGCACGCGGGGCTGTAGTTCATAGTCGAGATTGCCCGGCTCAGGAGCGATGAGTACCGGGGTAGATCCCACAGTCTGACCTTGCTGAATGGTGCAGTGACCACGGCATAGTCGTATTCTTTTGTTTCCGGCACCATCTGGAACGGATCGTCGCGCCATGCGACGGCGACCTTACCGGTTGTCTCGTTGTAGATCAGTCCTGCGACTGTGCGGTTGAGAGTCGTTTTCTCTGCGACGTGCGGGTGGAATGCGCGAGGGAGGGACTCCAGACCCTTGTCGATGGTGCGCCATTTGGTGGCTGCGAAGTAGACGTCGTCATACATATCGCTCCAGATTGGGGAGGTGTCTGAGCCGTCGACGTAGTCGGTTATGTTGGTGTTGTAACCCATCGCATATTTCAAGTACCCGGCCTCGGACCAGTGGAACATGCCGTCTTCGACGGCTTGTTTGTGGGCTTGATACATGTTGGTTGCGATCTTGCGGATTGTCTCCCGGTTGTTCATTGTGGTGTAGTTATCGTATGCGGATTCTGCTTCTGCGACAGCTGTTGCATTGGACGAGGCTGCCTTGTAGACTAGTGATGAGTTGGCAGCGACTTGGGCGGCACTAGGAATTAAGCCGTTGGGGAGACGGTTGCCGCCAGAGGCTGCGGGCACATTGGGACTATTCTGTATCCAGGGGATGAAGTTGACCTGGAGATCTCGTTTATGTTTGTTCATCTTGTTGAGAACGCCGGCGAGTTGGAAGACCATGCGGTGATCTTGGATTTCGAGCGTCTCATTCGTGTCAGCATAGGTAATGCTGACTGGGAACCGCATCGGTCCCATCTCCTGATATTGATACTGGTCGGGGGTGGTGTTGTTGAGGTATTTTGTACGAATGCGACCACCGACTCGCCCAGATGATTCATAGATGTGCCAGTCGTGGATACCAACAGAATCGAGCAGCAGACTCGTCATCAAGCCGGACATTCCACCACCCAGAATGGCAACAGAGGTACTCTTCGCTTTAGAAACAAATGCTTCGCCGTGCTTCTTTGACTTCATATAAGCTACCCCGTCGAACCACGGTCCCATGGCATCTGCCACGTCGGCGATACTCTCGCGCTTCTTGACAGGTGATGAGACCATGATGGGAGAGGAGCGGCCCACAAGCCTCGATCCGGAGAAAGCATGCAGACAATGTGAATGGGGTGCGTCAGATGGTGTAGTCCAGACGAATCGCTCCGGCTGCGCCTCGCGTTTCACAAACGTGCTTCCGATCTCATGATGACTCTGCGTCGGGTCTTGGATCCCGCATTCCCCGTAGACAAGCTGCAGATGACCTTCGAAGTCTCTGTCCAGGAACTCGACGTGAACGTTATGCAAAGAGTCGGAAGTTACACCCCCGGGGCTGTGGAACCGTATTACCTCGATGTCTCTCCCCGCGACCCCGGCTAGGCTTAGTCGTGATAGACCTAACCCCAAGAGGGTATGTTGTAGACAAACTTTCATCCTTGATCTGAACAGTAGAAACGTGGAAACAAAATATGAGCGCTTGGCAATAGTCTATTTGCCTTCATGCTTGCTGTACACGTTTTATATGTCTTTCTTTTGCTCGACTCAAGTATCTTCGGAATATTGAACCCGTATGTCAAGCTATCATTATCTTTGAGGGGGTATTTCTGCAACCTTCTTATCTAGCGGTGACATTGTAGCTGGAGAAGGTATGCAGATACGATGTCTGCATCCGCAATATATTACTATAGCCTCCGCTGCAGCTTGACTAGCGTCCATATCATCCATCGCAAGCTGTTACGTAAAATGACAGTATTCCAAGGGCCAGTATAAATTCAGTTAGCATCTCAGATCTAGCCAGCTAGAGACCCGGGATTTTTTCGAGAGCACAGGTCCCACTTTTTCGAGTGCAGCTGTCAGTGACTCAGTGGTTGTCAGTTTCTCTTATCAAGGCGGTTGTTTCCGACTGCTATGTGTTATCTTAGAGCGGGGTATTGGAGTTGTCTGGGGGTCGGTATATGTTGTATTCTATGTTAAAGCGCGGGGAAGGATATTTCTTGTAGTCAAGATATGGGTTTGATTTGGATCGGCAATCTCGATATTCTTATCAGTTGAATTCGTAACAGTCCAGGAAGGTACAACCGTGGATACATAAGTACGTAGGATAAGAAGTCGGAGCCAATACGCTTGAGCCTGTGAAGCGGCTCGGCAAGAGGGCTACTCTCCAATTGGTCCATTCATCAGACGATCCGGGAATTTCGATATGTTCCCAGTGTTCCAGTTGATCCACCACACGTGATGATCTGCGGGGGCGTTTGGTTACATAGGTTTATATTAAATTCCTCACAGGGGAGGTTATAGCGAAGAGTCGAGATAAGTAAATAAAGAAATATATTAAGCCAAGCGGAATACTTCCAAGGTTCCCGGTATGTAGCCGGAAGGCGCCGGACCCACTCAGCCATTGCGGGGGAGGATGATGTCATGTTGATGCCTAAATATGCCTGAATATGTACATTGACTCTTAACACACAAAGAATCTCCATTCAAATACCCTGATAAACGCATCAAAATCATCTAGAATGAAAGTCTAGATAGGAGACTTTCCAACCCAATACAGACAACCTCGGCACAGTCATCGTAAAAGCACTCGACCAGAAGACCTCGAATCTCATCCAAGCCAGCCTCAACACCAAAGCAATCAAACTGGAATCTGAAGTCCAGGAAGTAAGATCGGGGTAATCCACGCAAGAGGGCACGATGTGGAGCCTCCAGTGCCATCTCCGGGCCAAGTTCCTCCATATCACCTAGTAAGGAATCAAGAAGATCGAGTTGGTCGCAGACTTCAAAACATTTGTCCCATTTCTCCGGGCTGAAGCCATCATGTTGTAGAGTGTGTATGATGCTCTTTAAAGTGGTTGTGAAGGTTTCATGTGCCTGGTTGAAGCGCTGTTCAAGGTCTTGGGGACCTTCGAATGAATTCATCTTTGGGAGGAGAAGGGAGGTGTTACTCCCAAGGTCCTTGCTATGTGGTATGGGTTAATTTTGTAGCGACAAGTCAAGAATGTAGATATCAATCGATCAGTAGGGAATTGTTCAAATAACGACAGCTCTTAATTATAGGTGGCACTGAGACTATTTAAGCCCATCCAGCCAGCTTTCTCACATAAGAAAGACAATGATTGAAAACATGGAAATCAACAGAACTCAGATGGTAGGATCTCTCTTTCCTGCTTCTATTCTTTGGTCAAAACCTTGAATAGATGTGTAAAGGAAGAAATTCATTGTTTTTGCTAGTAGTTCTTACACCACAGACAAAGGGAGAAAATTGAAAGAGATTTTACATGGAAACGATTGAGGTATTATGCATCCATGGATGCATGGATGGTGTATTGGATTATGAGCAAATCAACGCTAAAAGAGCACAAATTGGATATCAAAAATTCATCAATCATCAATCACAACATATCGTTGTCTCCTCCAATTTCCGTATCTCTTCCTGCACGTCATCTATTCCCACTGTGACAACCATCCAATCACATAAGAACTTGCCCAGTCCCGCGCCAATGAAGATGCAAATAATCACATAAACATTGAAGTACATGGCCAACAACATGGTGATATAAGCCCCTGCAAACGTGACTGCATGAATCACAGCCCTCGTCAATTGTTGCAACGGCGTCGCGCGAAATGTCACGGCGGTTCTGGCAGATTCAAATCTCCTGACAAACGTGCCGTGTACGGCTTGGCGCTCAAATTGGCGGGTCAGGAAGTTGTCATATTCCCGACCAATGCGCCGACAGAACTCGACTAACACAACCAGCAGAATTGTGCCGATACAGGTTGCGGCAAACATGCCATTGTTCTTGATCTGCCATCCTGCGGACAGGAAACAGGCATCGATGGTGTCGAAATTGAACATCATCTGGCTTTGGTCAGCGAATCCACTTGAAAGCTGCCAAGGTCCAAATATCTTGGCACTCACCGAAACCTTGCAGCTGCTCGAGCTGGTGCTGGAATCCATGCCCTGCATCTTGGCCGGTCTTCTGGGTATGCAAGGATGAGAAGTTGAAAATATGGCGCGTCCGATATCAGCTCGATGCCGCTGTTCTTATAACCTGGTGGCTTCTCCCCACCTACGCTGAGGCAAAGTGGAGAAACCCAGCGATGGCGTGGGAGAAATGTGCTCAAATCGCCGCAAATGCGAAAATGGCCGCGTTGAACTTGGAAGTTGGGATTCGCGTAATGGCAATGAATAAAACCTCGTGGGTTTCTCGCACAGAATCTCACAATCTCTTTCGCGCTTCGCCATGACCAGATAATCCCGACCGGACGCAGAATCAGGTGTTCTTTTATCAACTCGAGCTGAATTGTCGCTCCACACTCATCGGAACTGGGCTGAGGCTCATAATCGGTCTTCAACATCGGCCTACTGCATAGGGCAGCTCAAGACATAATGTCGTTTCCAAAATTGGATGCTCGTCACATCCAGAACATGAGCGCAGCGACATCATTAGAGCCTCATTGGGGATACTACGATCGCGCCCTTCCCTGCACCAACGATGCGGGATCGTGCGCGTATCTCGACGATGTATACGCATCACATGACCGGGGAATGCTATATTCAGGCATTATGTGGTGTGTTATTGGCACAATTTTGCTCCTCTGGGTCGTCCTGAACCAGTTCAATACGCCAACGATATCACCAGCACTAGCAGCACCAGAGCTAGCCGGACTATACAAGGTCCGCCGCTCTGTTGCCTCATTAGCCCGGAAATATCTCCTGCCTGATGCGGCTCGGTTGATCTTCGGCCGCACAACACGCCTCCAAGTGCTCACCCTCGCTCTGTTGGCTGGCTACCTCCTCATATTCAGCTTTGTCGGCATTCTCTACAACACATGGGTCACGCCTGTCTCGAAGATGCCCGGTGTGTATAATACCCGCAACAGCATCGGCCCGTGGTCAGACCGCGTCGGCACCCTGGCCTACGCCCTCACCCCGCTCTCCGTGCTGCTGAGCAGCCGAGAGTCCTTCCTCTCCCTCATCACCGGCCTGCCATACCAGAGCTTCAACTTTCTCCATCGCTGGCTGGGGTATATCATCTTCCTGCAAAGCTCCCTGCACACAATCGGCTGGTGCGTCGTCGAGCTGAGATTGTACCAGCCGCAACCCACCGTCGGAATTGAATGGATCACCCAGACATACATGATCTGGGGTGTCGTCGCCATGATCTTGATGTTCTTACTCGTCGTGCTGAGCACACCGTGGGGAATCAGACTCACCGGCTACGAGACCTTCCGCAAATTGCACTACATCCTCGCTATGGTCTACATTGGTGCCTGCTGGGCCCACTGGAAGCAGCTCAAGTGCTTCATGTGGCCCTCGCTGATCTTCTGGTTCCTCGATCGTGGAGCTCGACTCGTTCGCACAGGCCTGCTACACTACCACCCCAACCACTCCGGTAGTCTCGGTCTCGGCTTCAAGCCCGCCGATGCGACCATCACCCGCTTCCCGGACACCGAACACGGAGATGTCATCCGCCTCGACCTGCACAATGACCAGGACCCCTGGTCCATCGGCGAACACTACTATTTAACCTTTGCGAAGTGCAGTATCTGGCAATCCCACCCCTTCACGCCACTTAACCTCCCCACCGTGTCAAAGGGCACAGTCCAACACTCATACATACTCCGAGCGAAAAGCGGAGAAACGAAAAAGGTTGCCGACCTCGCTGCCACCGGCACACCCACAACACCTGTCATCTTGACCGGCGCATACGGCGAGTCTATCACCAGTCACTTGACACCAAGCACCAATATAATTTGCGTGGCCGGCGGGACCGGCATCACCTATGTCCTCCCCGTTCTGCTAGATCTGGCCCGCCAAAAACCCTCACCAGACCGCAAGGTCAAGCTCATCTGGGCAGTCCGCCACACGGCGAATACAGAGTGGATCGCAGCAGAGCTAGATCTCTTGCAGAAAGCGCGGAATATGTTGAACCTCGAGATTCGCATTTTCGCTACCCGAGACTCGGGGAGCAAGACTCCCTCGATCGAGAACTCGGATTCCGAAAACTGCAATCTGTCGGTCCCGAATATTGAGGAGAAGGCCGTGCAGGTCTCGCCTTCCAAGTCTGTTTCTGCGTGCTGTGGATGTGATAAACCTACTGCTGTGGAGCGGCTCGGGGGTGCTTCGGATGATGTCAATAGACATCCGGATCTTCCGCGGCTGGTCGATGATTTCTTGGTTGATACGGTGCGCGGCCCGACGAGCGTCTTTGCTAGTGGACCTGGTGGTATGATTAGTGACCTGCGGGATATTGTTGCGTCTTGTAACTCCGGTGAAAAGGTCTGGAGGGGTCAAGAGAGATTTGATGTTAGTCTTATCTGTGATGATCGGCTGGAGTGGTGAATGGGTTGCGAGGAGAGGGGAGTTGTATACATTACCCAGGTGGCTGTATTCGCCAACATGGAATCATCAGAGGTTGTGGATTCAATGTACATTTTATCATGACGAATTTTATGGATCATCTATCAACAGAGATAATATGGGAGTGTAGAACAAGTACAAGGGTACAAGGGTCACAGCTTTTGTTAACATCTCTTCGGGGCTGTCCGAATCTACAAGGAATATGCGTCCACTGCCTAGATGTAACGAATATGAGGTGGAGTGAGTAGGAGGATCGAGGATCTTCTCTTCCTATGCCTCAGTCATATAGCTAAGCTTAATGTCCTATCAAGTGCTTAGATGCAGAGATATATCACACAATAATAGAGATATGTTAAAATAATTATAAAAAGGAAAGTACTATGCCTATGGTTTTGATCATAAATTGGAACCTAGGGGGACACGTCCTTTCGAAAATGCAAGGTGGGTTCACGTCACGTGTTGGTGCCTGAATATACCTGTTCCTGCCTTGATCCTAACAATAGTACTATTATGGTAACTATCAGAAATACCTCTACTTTGTCTGACCGTTGACAACAGCATCCCGCTTAAGCTCACCACCAGGCAAAAGCATACCAGCTCGATCAATGAACGACCGCGCTCGAATATAAGGGTCCAATCTCCAATAGTTCACGCAGAACTCATCAATAACAGCATTCCGTCGCGACTTGAGCTCTTCCACTTTCGACGCCTTGTCCTTCCCGTCAGACTGTGAGCTGGCAGAGATCCACGCTGCTGTTGCAGAGATCATCCGGATTCCAATCATCATGCGGTCGTACATTAGCGAGTCGCGCGTCGCGGTGTCTTTCATGACTGCGTTCTCGTCTTTCACGGGCTCGTCGTATTTATAGGTCCATTTTTCGTCACCGGAGAACTCTTTGGGGATCTTGCTGCGCGGAATAAACTTGTCCAGGTCGGCGATTGACCGCGTGAAATGCACTTTTGATGCGACGACGGGGTCCATCCAGCCGTGGATGAGTTTCCAGATGCCTAAGGTGATATTGTGAGTATTCTTTGCAATGAGAAAGGAGGATTTCTTAATGGAATCATTCGACTTACCGGAGAAAATCCAGGGTGCATTATGGATGAGCAGTTGCCCCAGAGACTCGGGGTAGTTTGCTTCGAAGCATCTGAGAATGAACTTGACTGGTGGGTATTCCTATTGCGAATATTAACACAAGGCAGTCATCTCATCTAGCCTCAGTACGGTATCATACCATGTTGGATAACCCGAATCCTGTCAAATCGAAGACAATTGTCTGTGAATGTGTCAGCTGAGTCAATATCTCACTTTTGGTCGAACATACGCCCGTTTCAACCGGAGGAGCCAAGATAAGTCGCGTCGCCTCAATAACATGAACAATATACCGCTCAAGAGCTTCCTCACTCTGAGCATCTGGCTTGTGAATCTTCACTCTAGCATAGATAACAGGTCGACCGTCCCTGTCAAAGCCATGAAGGAAGCTTTTTCCCATCTTGAGTTGGTTGATAAAGTCGGCACCTTCCTTCTTCTCCTTTGACGTAGCTTTGGCACTACGGGATTGCTCCAGAGCATATTCCTCTCCCCGGGGCAGAATTTCTTCATCAACCTCCATCTCCTTTCTCCATAGGATGTTCGACGCCATCATCGAGAATGCCTTTCCGACATCCCATTTCCTGGCGCGCAAGAACCGGAGCAATAAACTATCTGGGTTTTCTTGCTTGATCATTTTCAATATCGCGAAACACATTTCTTGAGGCGTCATCCTAGAGAGGGTATTCTCCATGGACTTGATCTCTGCATCTTGCACGCCCAGCTGTCGGAGCTGCGAGAAAAGGGAAGAGAAGTGCGCTGGAGTGACCTTTCGGTTGGCCATTTCCGAAATGATGGTGTCTTTGGCATTTTCATTCAAGAGCGAGTCCACCTTGTCCAGTGATTTCTGCTCTTTATTATCGGAGTTATTTCCAGTTCTGATTTCTCCATTTGTTTCGCTATTCGATCCCGCCGGTGCGATTCCATTTGAGGTCTCCCCATTGGTATCTTCGTCCTTCAATGCGCTAATAATAGCCTCCACCGTTGGCTCATTGATCTTGTCCAGAGCAGCAAACAGCTTGCTGGAGGAGTCCTTCGGAATCGGTATGTCATATACAGCCGACAGGACGGTTGCAACAGAGGTCAGAATGATGATCCAAAATTCAATTACCTTTGCTTCCTGATCAGGAGTGAGGTGGCCGAGGTGCCCGGACATAAGATCAGGAGTAGGAGACATGGCGTGAATCGTGGGTAGAGGTAAAGTGTAATGCCGACTGGGGGAAATCAATTCGGATTTTGCTCGCAAGCCCGCCGACGGGGTCTTGTTCAATCATTCATTGTTAACGGGGCCACATGAATAGCAGGGATGCCTCGGCGACCTTCGGATTCACGGGCGAATTCAAATTTGATACCTCGGTGGTTGAACCCAGTCGATCGTTTATTGAGAAATAGGTGCTAGGACCTTCACCTTCTTGTGGGGGATCTTGAAACAGCTCCGATGGAACGGACGCGGATGGACCCTGTGAGGGAGAGCCTGGGATGACGATCCTCCATATTGCGGGGAAGATCGTCGCTCTAGGGAGTTCGATCCCTCTCGATTTTGACCTCGAATACGTAGGTGTGCGGATATTTGGGGACGATGATTATATTTTCACCACATTTACATATGAATTCAATCTAAACCAGGTACGTATTCGGTAAGCGAGCTGTAAGCCAAGATATATGTTCCTGGAGTTCAGCTAAAGAGACCTAGGAAAGATTCGTGCTCTAGGACAAGAACTTATTTAAGAGATAATCATGAGCAGCGTCGAAACCAGCCTTGTCCAAGTACTTAGCGGCATGAGTACAAAACCTTCAATGACGACATCGAGATCTTCCTGCGTCGCCGAAGGAGTCCCCCCCTTCCCCGCTGTCCTCACGGCATGTCAACATGTCTCCTTTTCCCCCTCGGCCTGCGTGTCCCGCAGTCCGTTCCCGATTCCTCCGTTTCAATCCAGTAATCACGCCCGGCATTAAATCTTCGTAGTAAGCCCCCACCCAATGGGCGGCCTACTCAAAGTCGCTCGCCTGGGCACCTTACCCTCTTGATAGCGAATAACCTTACCCAGTAAGTGAAGTGCCCGATCTCTGTCATCTCGCTGCGATTGATACTTAAACTGCAGAGAAGTGATTGGACTAGCAGCTTCTCTAGTGCTAACCAGTGTCCTCCTCATACCGGCTCTAACGGTGGTTCCCAGCTGAGTGCTCGGTATCAGTACCCTGTGCAGTCAGCCCCGATCCCTTCCAGCGGAGGTCCGACATCCCATAGAGATGGCGGATCCATCCAAATGGTAAAAGGCGTTTTATTGAGTGATGATCATCATCTTCTTCTTTGAAGCCTGATCTTCAGGTGCGTACTCGATAATGACTAGGTTGATTACCACGTGACCTGTCGCTCCGTAAATGTTTTGCTCCTCGATGGTTTTACTCCCCTCTACATATCTCCAGGGTTTTGTAAAGCCCTCTTTTTCCGATAGTTCCATTTGCCTTTGTTACATATTTCTAATCATCTTGCAAAATGCCAAAGAAACAGCCACGCGCAAACATATTTTGCCATTCTGAGTTCGATTTACTTTCCCTTTTATCGCTTGCAAAAAGTATACGTGGGAAACCTTGCTTTTGCGATGAAGCTCAACATCCGAAAAGTGGCAGTTTGAATTGGGCCAAATATCTATCTATTTTGATGATGGTATTGAATGGATATTCCGTTCTCCTCGCAAAGACTATTGTGTGCTTCAGGAGGAGAGTACAAGCACAGTCCTTGCAAGCGAGGCGGCAACGCTAAGTTATTTACGCGACAAAAGTGATATTCCCGTCCCAGAAGTGTTTTCGTTCTGGTAAGATCTGCCTACTTGAGATTTGCTGAGTGAATTGTGTATTCGGCTCACAATTGAACAGTCCTACTCATCAGAATGATATTGGCGTTCCCTATATCTTGATAAGCAAAGCACATGGGAAACCACTTGCTTCTTTCGGCTGGGATGACAATAGTGATTTGGATAATGACTCTCGGCCATGTTTGACGCTACAGCAGAAACGAAAGGTCATAAGACAATTGGGCAAAATCCACGCATCCCTTTCGAACATACGATTTGATCGGATCGGATCACTGTTGCGGGTGGAAGACGATTATACTCTAGGAACGTGTCTTTCTCCAGCCCTTATGTGGCATGGCCGCGATGAGTTTGATGATGACGATATCCCACTCGGGCCGTTTGACGACGCAGCATCATTCTACAGAGCGCAGACCTTCGCTTTGCTTGCTCATGTGAGAGAACTTCCTATGGAGCACCATATGTTCCATGCACCGGTGCCTACACGACAGGAATACGATACGTTCAGTGAATATTATATTGCTACGAATAGGTGGAATGACTACGTTACCGTGGGGTCAAAAATCGAGAGCGCAAAAAATAGGCTTGACTACACCTCTGCTGCGCTTGCTATTTTGGAACTTGTTCCCTTGCTAGCCGAAAGCGACAATCAAATTCGCGGCTCTGGCTTCCCATTGTTTCATCCCGACCTGAGTACCAGCAATTTGTTCGTTGATGACGATCTGAATGTGACCTGTATCATTGATTGGGCTTGCACTTCATCTGTTCCGAAGTCAATGTTACTCGTCTGTCCCGGACTACCTCATTCCCGGAATCCAACACCCCTCGAGTTTATAGACTCTTTCATACAAGGTTTTGTTGAAGGGAAAGGGTTGGATTCCCAAGCAGCTCTTCCTTTCGAGAAAAGCAATGATCTTTGGGAATTTGCTCGCTTGGTTAATATGGATTCTATCCAAGATTTCAATCACCTCTCGGAGCTTTTCTAATCCCTTGCCCCTGAACAGGAGCTTTTTGCAAAGCTGAATGACATGAAGGAACGGGATGAGTTTATCACCTCGTTGAAAATGATATCCCAATACACCGCCACATCTGAGGAAATGCGGAATGAGAAACAGTATTTTGAATGTAACGGGCCCGAAAGATTGGCGCTGGCACGCCATATTTCAACAATGGCAAGTCTCAATCCCAAGTTTGTGGCGGATCAGCGCCTCTGGAAGTGGGTCGTGATATACTTGAAGCAGCGAGACACATATATGTTCCCTAACCTTGAGAAGGCAGTTAATTGAAAGGTGTGGAACTACACAACTACTGTCTCTTACTAGGTGTGACGCTTAAAATTGTGTTGTCGCGAAAAGGGTACCATAGCTCGCGACGTCTTGTTTCATAATGTCTTGATTTCTTTCTCCGCATTCCTAACTTCACGAATATAATGTACAATAGAAAACCAAGCGGCCAAAGCCTATGATATAAGAACACCAGCAAGCGCCCCTAAAAGAACAACTGGCACTATAAAAGAGCAGCAGAGTCCGAGGAGAGGTGTTTCAGAACTAAGTTCCTCCTCGATTTCCGCTCGTGGGTATGATATTTCCTTCTCCGTGGTGAGCAATCTAGAGTCTCTGGGGTGATAGGCCGGAGAGTTGAAAAGATGAGCAATGGGTACCCAATTGTGGACAATTGTCAAAAAGCACAAGTGCAGCAATGGTGGCCATGCAAATGTAGTGAGCAGTTTAGGAATTTCTGTTCCATCTCCGGTCACAGCCACCCAGATCGCAAAGAGCATAGCTCCAACAGTCGCAATAAAAAGACAAATGTTCAACAAAGCACCGCTTTGAAGAGTATCTCTGTATGCCTTTTGGAACGACGAAATGGATGTAGCATTTTCGCTCGAATTGGCGGTGCTTCCGGTAACAAAAGATCCCTTTGGTTTGCTTCCGAGTAGGTGGAATCGTGCAATGGCGTACAGATGGGCTATTAACACAACATGTTAGGATCAAGTTTCAGGTTCCATTAAATATGTGGAAATTTTCAGCTCAAACTTACCAGTAGAAAGCCAACTGTTCTCTGCATGTGCAAAAGGCGCAAAGGGAACACCCGCGTGTGCACTCCGAGCCCAGTCATACGCCCATGTAGACGCAACATGCACGATGGCTAGAACAAGCTGAATCTTCACCTCCAACGCCGACCCAGCAGGAATAAACCCACCATCAGAGACAAGAAGGAACGGCAGAGTAACAAATCCAATCGAGTAGGTCACAAGACCTGCCATGATAGACAGTCCCCCAAGAGCAATATCCCAACGCAGATGCTCTGGAATCGCCTTATTGACAGAAGGGAGCAACACAGAAATCTGCTGGGAGTGTCCGATGTGCCACCGATTCCGCTGTTTGAGATGTCCCGCGAGAGAAGTAGGAACGAGGCCGAATTGCAAAACCTCTTGTACCTGCATCGTGCGCTTTCCCAGCCCTCGTAAAATCAACGACAGCTGCCAATCTTCCGAGAAAGAATAGGTCGGATATCCACCTGCGTCGAGAATCGCGTCGCGACGGAAGACTGCACCTGAACCTGCGTCTAGCGCATGACCGAGAAGATCGAGTTCCGTATTCTCACACGTGTAGAAGTAAGCCCGCGACTGGGAGAGGGGATCGCCACAGGGCAGATTATAGAAATACTGTCGTGTGGTCAGTAATGCTGCCTTTGGATCTTCAAGTAAATGGGGCAGTGTCGCGCGCAGAAACTCCGGCATCAGGATGGAGTCTGCATCGACGACTGTGCAGAACTCTGGCGGGTCTTCGGTTTGCAGGGAGAATAGGGCGTAGTTGAGATTTCCTGCTTTGGCGAAGGATTGCCCGGATTGCTTGCCGCGGGTGTGATAGGACAGGTGAGTCCATTTTGTGGCGAGTTTTGCAATTGCGTCGTGCAAGTCAGTTGACGCTCCATCATCCAGAAGGCGGACTCGAAACCGGGAAGCTGGGTAGTCTAAACCACATGCTGCTCGGACTGTGTCCAGGATGATTTCGACTGGCTCTCCGCAGCATGTTACTAGCACATCGACTCTGGGCAGGTTTTCGTTGCTGCGTAATCTCTTGCGGAGTGTCTGATGTGGTGGCTTTGTCGTTGCGGCTAGCGATAAGCGTTGGTGGTTCAGGGAAATGTCTAACTAGATCAGCGGCTGTTCATCGTTCTTTCTTAGAAGGTAACGTACGAGCAAATAGACCCTCAACTCCGAGCATTAACCATCTTTGCCATGTTTGCTCTGGGCTCATCACGGTGAAAAATAGCCGCACTGTAAAGTAGATGTAGGTGGTCCATATTGCTGCTTGCGCTATATGGCGGAGATATTTCCGATACTTCTGCGCATACAGAGCGCGATCATCAGGGGAAAGCTCCTCGATGTCATAGACGTTGTTAGGAAACATTGAAGCGAACTTGAAGCCGTTGGTTTGTGCCGTTGTGATTCTGTTGCATATTATATTGATTTTCTTTTTGCGCTTTTTGACTGGGGATATCAAGAATACCACGAAACAATTTGTCTTAGAATTTTCACAAATTTACCCTAGGCTTTTGAAGGAAGGCCTTCTCCGCCGAAATTAAGGGGTTTGAATGCATTCAGGGCTCCCCCCATTTGCTTCTGGAACATACTGTGTCTATTTATACTACTCCGTATCCACCTGGAGACTATCGCTGCCGAGAACCAATCAACGCACCCCATGGTATGGATTTTGATGGCGCTAGCCTTAATTGGAAGTGGGCCATTTCCTCGGCATCCGATTGGATCCCTATTCTATAAAATCCTGAGATGGCCTGGGGGACTGAATATATTGTCATGCACAATTCGAGCCATTGCATGTGCCTCTTGTGATTTATTGAGGATATCTTTGCCTGGGGATATCATAAATTAGCACATGCTTAGGCGGGCAACCTTTGGTGAACACATACTTGTAGATTGTGCATCAATTCAACATCAACATCGGTAAATACAAGTGTTTACTCTACTACCTTACAAGAAAAAAGGAAAAAGCAGGAATTTATTACCATCGAGAGAGATGTATATTAAAACTATAAAAAAAAAGAAACACCGTAACAACGAAATAACGAAAGGGGTGATAACTCCCATGCCAGTACCCTATGCCTAGGCCACGTCAGCCCATATAGGTTGGAATGCATATGTTTATAATCGCGGACTGAGCAGATCGAACACCGGCAGCCGGGGTTACCTGCATGTTTAATCCGTGTGAACCCACTCAGCCACTGGGGGACTCTCGTTAGGGGGAAGGTGTTGCTGTGAAATATATAGGAACATATGCTTCCGAAAAGGGAAGGTGGGTCCTCACGTGTTGATGCCTGAATATAACGTTTCTGCCTGCAGATCATACACACACTTAGTATTAGAATGTATATAATATGTTCTGCTACTCTACAGGAAGACAAAAGCAGGAGTTAATGGGTGAAAAACAAAAAAAAAGGACGAAAGGGGTGATACTCCCATGCCAGTACCGCTATGCCCAACCCAACGGCTTAGGAACGCATATGTGGAATGTTTATAATCGTAGGCTAAACACCGACAGCCGGAGCTAACTGCATGTTTAATACGTGTGAGCCCACTCAGCCACTGGGGGGGAATTTCGAAGAACAGGTGTTGGTCCTAAATTTATAGGAACCTGGGAGGGCATATCCTTCCTAAAATGGAAGGTGGGTCCATACACCTCATATCTTTCATCCTTCATGTTCCTGCATTTGTGACCTAGTTCTCGCGGATCGAAAGAAGGGGGTAGGCGTTATTAGAGAAGAAGATCTGTATAAGAAGGCCGCGGGGCTGCTTCATGGATCTATAGAGAGAATCCATGGATTTCCCGAGACCTTGAAACCTTCTGTCGTCGTAGTCCAATAGAGTTCTGTATTTTACAATAAGAAGAGCGTTCTTTTGGTCTGTTCACCCACATACATAATATATAGAATGGGTGGCAGACCACCAAGATACGGACGGTGAACCGGCATGATTTCTGGGAGGCCTCTCCTGTTAGACCTTATCGTAATTAAATTCATGAATATCTTAACAATAATTTGGCATAATCGGGGTATCATACTTCGTTTCCAATTCAAATCAAAAGTAGTATCAAAATCCATAGATTAGACATGTGATCGGCTCGATCGGAACCCCGCCCGATACAGACGGAACGGAATCAATGTGACTCGATTCATAGATAAAGAAGCCCTGGGATTCGCATAGAGAGATGAAAAGGAATAATTTACCATTTGAATAGCACATAATATCACATTTGTCCATCATTTGCCATTCCTGACCAAGAATCGTTGGTCATTTTCGAAATGACCTCAAACAACCCCTCATACCTTATTATTGGCGCAGGTGTCTTTGGGGTATCAACTGCCTATCACCTCATCCAGAAGTATCCCAATGCGTCGGTGACTCTGGTTGATCGAGACGCATATGATGCCGAGTCGCGTGTGGCTGCATCATGGGATTGGAACAAGGTTATTCGCGCTGATTACGACGACAAGGTCTACTGTAGACTTGCTCTTGAGGCTCAAGAAATTTTCAAAAACGACCCCCTTTGGCAGCCATACTTCCACCAAACTGGCGTTTACTGGGCGTGCCGCAGCGACTACGCGCAGACTGTCATCACAAACCATAAGGAACTCGGTCGCGATGACGATATCATTGCTCTCCCTGTTTCTGAAGCTAGAAAGCTTTATGGCGGAATCTTTGACAATGCTGATTACACCGGTGTTAAAGAGGTTCTGGTGAACAGGGCTAGTGGCTGGGCTGCTGCCGGCGATGCTCTTCGAGCAGTGACAAAGAGGTGCTTAGAATTGGGCGTCTCGTACGTCACCGCATCCGTTACTAGCCTTGAGTTCGATGGGCATGGCTCCTGCACTGGTGTGAAGACACAATCTGGAGAGACATTGCCGGCCACGCATGTTATCGTCGCTGCTGGGGCTTTCACGCCGACATTGCTAGAGTGGAGTGCTGTGAAGAGCGGCAACGCTGGACTACGAGCTGGAGAGCGGATTCTTGCGGCTGGTATTACAACCGGGATGGCACAACTCAACGAAGAGCAATACGAAAAGTACAAAGACATGCCTGTTGGCTTCCAGGGCTACACACCGAATGAAGGTACGCTTTCCGGTATATTCGTATGAATGCCACTAATCATTCCCAGGGAAACCCTTCATTGGCAGCATTCCCCCTACCAAAGACCGAGAGCTCAAGTGGTGGGGATCTAAGATTTTCACAAACACCCGAGAGGTAGTCCCTGGGCATTACCTC